GTTAGGGTACACTTCTGTAGTACAAGTCTGGTACACTTTGTGTATACATATATGTACCTCGGGTACCAACGACCCCTTCGGCAGCACTGACCTTGAGCGACGACCTCCTCGATTGGTCTGTCCTGGTTTGTCGCGATGAAGCCGAGGATGGAAAAGATGGCGAAGCCAGCAAGAATGCTCGTGCCTGCGTTAACGCACGCGATCAGCAGCGTGTCCCTGTAAGTCACACACACATACACATACACACACACACACATATATAGCTTACATACCGCGCATGACTATGATTTATTACAATTACATTTTTGACATTATTTTATTACATTTTATGTTGTTGTTTTTTTACTTTTTATTTTGTTACATACTTTTTTTGGAATTATTTATCATATATTACTATATTTTATTTCATTGTATTTTATACGGTGACAATACACGCGTAAATCTGCGTATTTAATGTCAATGTCTAAATGTCGACCGAGGGCTATGAACACAAGCAGCAGCTATACGCTATAGTTGTCTACTAGAGTAGCAGCTGACGCAAATTACATGCCTGGAGTAAGAGCCGTCCGTCGACAGGCCGGACAAATACCGAGACGAAGATACACTAGCGAAGCTAATATCTAGGTGTAACAACTCACTTGATATGCAGGTGAAGTGACTAATGGGTGAAGTGATACACTTAACAAATGACACTTATGGCACTGATGGCACTTATGGCACTGAGGGTACTGCAGGGGCGTGTACAGAGGGGGGGTCCAGGGGGTCCGGACCCTCCCCCCCGCTCGCGCAGAAAACGCATCTGAGGGGGTCTAATTTCAAAAAATTTCGGGGGGAGTGCCCCCCAGACCCCGCCCCCTTCGCGTCCTCCCAAGTTTGGGTTACGGTTAGACACCCCTGCTACAAATCCTGTACACGCCCCTGTACTGATGGCACTGATGGCACTGATGGCACTTACAAATGGCTTACTTCATAGACGAGGGAGGTGACTCGATCTTTTGCTATACGATAGCAGACGTCGACTTACTTGATGATGTTGTGATGGTAGTCGTTGTAACTGGCCAGCGCTATCATGCTGCCAAACGCGATGCCGATAGAGTGGAAATTCTGCAGGGCTGCATTGATCCACACCTAAGGACGAGTACGCATCATAATTACAACCGTAATTATATGAATTCATTATATATATATATATATAT